CTTGCTCTTGCTTTTTTTGCCACTGTTAACATGCTTTTCTAGTTGGTGAGTGGGCTTATTAGAGAACTCTGAAAGCCGAAATCCTCTCTGCTTTGAGGAGAAAAGTTTACACATATGCTTTCTACAACTTCAGGTAGTTTCAAATGCCTGCCTAGCATTCCTTGGTTATAAAGCAGGGCCAATTGATGATACTACAAGATCGTCAAGAGCATGATGGTGCAAGACTTGGTCAGCACTTTTGGTTGAATTCTGGAGCTAGGTTTTTTTCTGGAAATGGTGTAATTGTGGTCAATGTGCCAAGATCAGTGTACATAGTTGTAGCGAAGAAGACAATGCTGTGAGGTTTTTTTTTTCTTTGGTGAAGTGACTTCCAGGACAAATGCTAATCCACACTACATCTTTCCATCTTGGACAGTCACAGAATTCTAGATCTCTGTCCTAAAGCTGCTCAGTGGCTAGGTGCTGTCAATATTTCCTGGTTGGAAGACAAATTGTGCCCTTTCTTTTTTGATGAAGGAAAAGGAAAATGTGATGCTAAAATAGATAATCTGGAGAAAAGGCTTCAGGGATCAGATAGACACGGTATTAAAAGTGCCCCAGCAAGTTAAAACAGTTACACTTCACTAGGATGCTCGGATCAGTCAGAATGATTGCAAGGAACTCTGAAAGAGGGCAGGGCACTATCTTTTTATGCTGCCATAAGTGGATGGGCAAAGTTAGAGGTCTACCCCATGTCTAGTACTAGAGTATGTTAAGGGAATATAAGTGTTTTTTCTAACTTAACAGGCGAATGGTTTAACAAAGCAAACTACTGTCTAAGTGAACCTGTTTATGTTCACAGATAAAGAACTGTATCAAAATTCACTTTGTATCAGTGACTTCATGAAAAGTTGTTGCACTCTTAAGGCGCTCTGGGGTTTGAAGTAGCCACTTCGTATACTTTTGTTAAAAACTATGCTATTGCATAAGCATTCAGGAATGATGCTGAACTTGGTAAAGAAAAAAAACAGAAATCAAAACCAGCTGTTGTGTGCTAGAAGACTGAAGACAATCTCTAGATTATCTGTAAACATGGAAGCACGGTTGATTGGGAACAAACATAATGACAC